GGGGGGGGGGGGGGGGGGGGGGGGGGGGGGAGAGACATGGTATTAAGCATCAAAGTCTTAATAGAATTTCTTTCCTTTCAAATTCTCCCCCCTCCCATGATGAGTGAGACTTTGAATCAAGGGCAATGAAAATGATAATAAAACCTAGCTATTCTTTCTCCCCCCAAACTCTCCTCTTTGGTTAAAATACATCTCTGCTTTGAGCTCAGACCTATTTGTGTAGGGCCTAATGAGAAACAGAGCAGGGTGCCCCACATTTTAGGCTTTGGATTCTCTACCCCCAAGAAGATTTGCACAACCTCTCTTTAGCCTGGAGTACATAAACCTTTTGTGCCCAACAGCCACATCAATGAAACACAACGTGGCCAAGAACCATACTGGACATGCCAATGGTATCTCAGCAAGTGGGGCAATAATGTCAGTGATGGGTGGGATTGGCAGAAGATTGTGCGAGATGAATCTAGTTGATAATTGAGACTGGGTACTTGACTAGGTTGGTTGATGGTTGGCCTCTTCTTAAGTCCTAAGTGAAGGGAGGATATAAAAAATAATAATAAAAAACACTTCTGTGTCTTCTTTGTAAGGTGATCCTTATTCAGATCAGCTAGTGCTTTATTCTGGTTCTTTCCTCTCTACTTTGCATTTATCCCATTTTTAAACAATTACTTTTCAACTGTTTATACTTTCATACCCTCCAGCAACAAGAGTTCTTATGCCAGTGTTTCCTAATTATTGTCTCCCAAACAGATAATTTAAAAAAAGAGATACAAGCCCTGCCTTCAGATTCCCCATCTAGATGGACAACACACTCAAGGACTCAAAGGTTGGCAACTTGGTGCCTTCCATAAGTTTTGGACCACAGTCCTTTATTATTGACTGTGCTGCTTTGGGTTTAAGAGAACTGAAATCTAAAACCTTTGGAGGAGAACTGTTGACTGTCTGCCTACACAAGGATTGTTGTTCCAGGCCAGAAACAGTGATATGGATTATGCAGACACTTTCATGTAACTCAGGCTGGGCTGATCTCCCTTTCTGGAGTTGTTGCTTAAATAACAATTGGTAGATCCTACTTCTTAGGATGATGGGTAGGGACAAAGCATCTAGCCTGGTCATCTTCCAACAAGAACTGAGCTTTGAGCCTGGTAAGGAGAAAATCAAGTTCTTGTAGCCGATCTTTCTCCATTCAACGTGAGGGACCCATCCAATGTGAGGGACCCATTCAATGTGATGTCCTTCATCATACACACACACACGCACACATACACACACAAAGTGTGTATGAAAAGGGAGAGACAGAGGCAGACAAACTATTCAGGGATGATAAAGCTATATAGTGAGAATGCTGCAATGGTGTTATTATGTATGAACTTGGGGGTAGCAGTGTGGACGATGGTTGCAGACACCAGTAGAAAGGAAGCCATGTGTTACGTCATGCAACCAAATACTGTGTAAAATAGTGTTGTCCAAACTTGGCCACTTTAAGATGAGTGGACTTCAACTCCCAGAATTCCCCAGCTGTCTTCCAAAAAACAAGCATTTTTCTGCAACGCTTTTTTTCATTTTTTCATTTTCTCTTTTCTTTTTCACTCTCTTTTAGTGTCTCTTAGTTTATTCTTGTGTTTAAAATTTTCAACAAAATTATACATATAAAAAAAGAAAAAAGACAAAAAAGACTTTCCCCTTTTATCTTACTTTTTCCTCGTAATCACAAATAATGGAGCTGTTCGAGAACCAGGCATTTCCAACATTATTATCTTTCTGAGACAAATCGCTTCAGCTAAATGGTTGTTAGTGTGCTACAACTTATAAACAGTGAAATGGAATTCTTAAATAGCACACGGCGGAGTTTGGGGAATGAGTCAAGGACTTCATCTTTCTCTGTGAAGCTAAGCTCCAGATTTGTATCCATAAACATATTTATCAAATGCATTAGCAGTACCAAATGAAACCCACTGATCTCAAAGGAAAAAGCAAATGCAAACACGGATGGAGGATGGAAAAAGAAGTCCTTAATAGTTCTGGGAAGTTGGCAATTTTAGCAAATGTTTTCCATTATCACTAAGGTTTGCATGGCCGGGGGCAGCCAACGAAGAGAAGACATAGTAATCTAGCAGCCGGAAGAAGAAAAGATGAATGGGGTGGCACAGAGGAGGAGGTGGTGGGGCAGGAAGAAGGAGAGATAGAAGTTGCATTAGTAAGAAGAGAAAGACATGATGGTGGTGGTGGTGGAACAGATCTTGAGCCCCTTTTATTCAGTTCCAGAATGTAGAGCAGTGTATCTCGGC